TCAGCTCAGATTCTCAACGACTGAAACCATATTTGGTGGAATCGCTTCAGTTCTTGTGCCATCTGAATTAAACTCCCCTTTCAGCCAATGAGTAATAATGGCACCTTTGCCCTGAAAAAACAAAACAAAAGGAAACATGAAATAAACAACTGATTTGTAATATATATATATATATATATATATGAAAGAAAAATACAGAAAAAAACAAAATTCTGAATATGCATTATTAATGTTAAAATAAAGTCGACGTCGGACATTTTGGTCTATTTAAGACCATCTTCATGGACATTTTCATTTAAACATAATTAACATTATAACTTATAACAATTTAACACAAAAGACGATGGACATAAGACCGAAACGTCCGACGTCGACTTTATTTTAACATTAATAATGCATATTCAGAATTTTGTTTTTTTCTGTATTTTTCTTTCATACTGTCGGATTTATATCCATATATTTGCTTACATATATATATATATATATATATATATATATATATATATATATATATATATATATATATTGTGTATTAAGGCAGCAGTCCTTCATTTATACTTGTTTCATAAGTATAATAAGGTATTAAGATTAAGCTTTTTATTTAATTTTTCTTGTCTTCGAACAAGTGTTTTCTTTTCTTGAACGTGTGTGTAGAAACTGCAAATGTTCAATACTCCATTTAAACACATGCAAACTTACCAGACTCCATTGGAAACAAATTAGTAGGAAATACAAACATATTATTATGTTTTTATTTTCTACTAATATAGATACATATTATATCTATTTTTATACTGATCATTTCCAGTTCTCTAATCAGTTTTTTGATGTTAAGATGAAATTCACCAAAGGAGACGCCTTAGTTTTTTCCTACCCAAGTACTTTCGATATCCTCCAAGATAATCCTCAGGGGTGAAGAACAAAGACAAACTACTTGCAACTGTGACAAAAATCTGCATTTCTTTGTGATGTTGATTTTTAAAAAAAACAGGCATGAATTAATTTAAAATTTAAAACTTTTATAATTAATTTAAAATTTAAAATTTATCTGTTGTCGCTACGGAATTTTTGGTAAAACAAGCGTTTCAATGTAAGGGAGCTAACTCGAAATTGGTAGGAAGTAAAATGGCATTAAATGTTTGTTATATGAACATCACCATGTTACTGCTACACTTGTAATGAATTTTGTTGAGTGTTGATTGTTTACCTTTGATATAGAGAGCCTCTAGAAATTTGAAGTTTTTGTTTATTATTTTCATGGTGTAATATATTAGTGTTGTCAGCAATTATTTTCCTGTATTGTAAAGGCGGACAGGAATGTGTTTTTAGAACATGCAAGGAAGTGTAAGATGTCTTGATAATGTTGTGGTCGTCAAACCAACATATGTACTTACATTTTTGCCAGAGATTCCATCTCCCGAAGGTTATTTAAACTGATACACAATGTCAGTCTTTTCTAAAACACTAGTTGAAGGAGAAGAGTTATTGCATATGATTAAGTTAGGCTTGTTAAATTTAGTATAATATATAATGATAGTTTTCTTTTTACTGAGATCAGTGGGGAATATATTAGTATTTATTAGATTTGTAGGACATTTTCAGCTTGCTTATACTTATATTTCCTTGGTGAATTTCATCTTAACATCAAGAAACTGATTAGGGAACTGGAAAGGCTCAGCATAAAAAATAAACAGACATAATATGTATATATATGATCAATGAATCATATATATATATATATATATATATATATATATATATATATATTCTTATGAAAGGTGATATTGAGAAAAAGCCTGGGTGTAGATTAATATTTGGATTATTTTTATTAATATTTTTCCCTATATCACCTTTCCTAACAGAATTACTTTTCTCCGAAGCAAACGTACACAACTGTATCAAGAAATCAAAGGAAAATGTTTGAATCCGTCAACGCAACAATAAAAACAATATTTCCACATATGAAAGTACTTGATGTAATTTTCAGTTGACAATAGCATTTTTCTAAATTATTGTTGCTAAGGACATTTTGTTTTGTTATTAATAGTTAAATTATTTTTAATAAATTCATTTCGTTTTTGCCTTGGACACATTGGACAGAACATGTCGGCTAATAACAGTTTTCCTATTGTCTTTTACCTTTAGAGAGAGAGAGAGATAGATAGACTATTGTCCAGATTTTAGCCTTTACTAAAGTAAAATCTCCATGGTTGAGATGAAAGACGATCCCAAAAATGAATTTACAGAGTTTTAAAAAGAGGAAGTGAATCTGGGAGGAAATTTTGCAAAGTCCCAAAGCAAAGGGCATTTTTAGTAAGGGATTCACACCAGAAAATAGCTGAGGTCTCAATCAGATTTAATGACATTCAGGAGCCTTTTATCTAAGAGACTGCAGATATGTGGTAGTCCCAGTATATAAAGAGACCAAAGAGATACCAAAGTAATCTTTCTCCTTGCTGTCACATCAGATGTGTTAAGTGCATCAGAGGGTTGACCTAAAAGGTAGCAACCTTTTGACGGTACCAGGTGCTGTAAGCATCGATGGGCAGTTGGTATAATGGATACTGGCTCGGAATTATTAATCGGAGAGCTATGTTCCAATTATAGACTGAAATGAATACCACGTGTTGACCCAATTCTTGTGAGTGAAACTGGGTTGATGGAACCATTGGGGAACATCGATATCTGTGGTTGCATGAAGTTACAAGTATATATATATATATATATATATATATTTGCTCTACTCTGTATTGAGCACTCTTTTATGAATAGTATTTTTTGGTTATTGGAATTTATTCCGTATACACCAATCCTATAATTGGATATATATATATATATATATATATATATATATATATATATATATATATATTTATTGGAATTTATTCCGTATACATCAATCCTATAATTGGATATATATATATATATATATATATATATATATATATATATATATATATAATTATAGGATTGGTGTATACAGAATAAATTCCAATAAACAAAAAATACTATTATAAAAATAAATATATATATATATATATATATATATATATATATATATATATCCCATTATAGGATTGGTGTATGCAGAATAAATTACAATAACCAAAAAATACTATTCTTAAAAGAGTGCTCAATACAGAGTAGAGCAAATATAATTATTTATTCGAAAATTATAACATAAATATGTTATAAAGTCACTACAAAAATAGCCATTTTGTTTCAACACTTCTGGTGTCTTATCAAGTGATGGTGTTGAATGTAGAACAAAGGGTTTTAAAAAGTTCAAATTAATCAAACACCCCTCGAAAGGGGAAACGCTGTTACATAAGCTGCAATGACCAATCAAAATACAAGCAGTGTATAAGAGAGTTCTCAAGACCGGAGAAGAAGTCTCGTATATCCGGGATTTTCTTATATCTGGGTTTGGTATACTTTATATACATTAACACAGGCTCTGATTTGGGACCAGAGAAAATCACTCTTATATCCGGGTTTCTCTTATATCCGGGTTACACTGTATATGAGAATTCAAAAAACTTGACAACGAACCTTGTTTATAATAATTAATTAATGCTTTAATGTTAGGGTTAGACTAAAATAGAAATCATTCTAATTAATATTAAATTTTACTACAGAATTCAAAATTCAAAATTACCAATTTTAAATTTTAAATTTCATCTGTATTAAGTTTAAAAATTATTTAAAGAAGAAACTGAGGAAAAAATACATGTTTTGTTATTTACTTTGTTTTTATTGAAAGGCCAAAAATTAAGTTGGAGTAAACGTTAAAAGCTAATGTTGCTCTGTGCTCCGTTACAATTTTTAGATAAATTTGAAGTGAAGATATGGGAAGGGGAGGATGAAATCTTGCAAAAGACAATACATACACAATCAGATTATAATAAACACGTAGACATATTTAGATAGATAAACACGCAAAAAAGCAACGAAACAGGAAATATATTTATATCTACTTGTATCTTGATTGGTCATTTCAGCTTATGTAACAGCGTTTCCCCTAGCGAGGGGTGTTTGATTTGATTTGATAGATCTATGTGTCTGCGTGTATATAGAAGCGTACAGGCAGATAAGCAAAGAAAGAAATAAAGACTCTCACTTTCATTTCCACCGGTCCTCGAAGCTCCAAGTCGAAATTTCCAAATATGTCCAGAACAGATTTCGTATGTGGACTCACGTGTATTTTCAGAGCTGAAAGCGAAACGAGATGAACTGATTACTGACAAAATACTTTATTTTAAATTTAGGAACAACGTATATTGAAATGTTTCAATCACCAATTGACCAATTAAAACATTTAAAAATGCTCAGTTGATCTCAGCACACGCATGCACGCACATATGTAGTAGCAAATAAAATTAAATCTTTATTTTACTTATATATAACACAGACACACACACACACACACACACACACACACACACACATATATATATATATATATATATATATATATATATATATATATTATAAATTAATTGATTTAAAATATGTTTTTTTTCCGCTACACATTTCTAACCATGTTTCAAAAATGGAAGCTAAAAGCCCCGAATTTAATTTTGTAATTAAATTTAAGACATTAGTTCCATTTCAATTTCATCCTCAAGCGAATTTTGGAGTAACTTTTAAAATCACTGGGTTTTAAATACATAGCTAAAACAAAATTCATGTTTCCAAGGTTACAGATAAATCTATTTTTCTAGACAGGGGCGTCTAGGTGTTCAATATTTCTATATTTTAATGTATCAGTTACTTTTGGTAGTGGGTAGGGGTGTATTTTTTAATGAAATCTAACTTCCGTTAAAAGCGTGTTGTCTGTTTTTTTTTTTTATTTAAAATTTATATTGTTAACGGCTAAAATTCTTACGGCATTTTTTTTTTATTAATGTTCTGTAAATTTACATCGAGCACTATTTTGTAAAAATTTACATCGAGCACTATTTTGTAAAAATAAAAATATCTATAAGAACACCGGATTATATATCTATATATATATATATATATTATGCAGTGTAACATTAGAACATGTACATACCCACTACAAAACAGTACATATATATCTATCATATATATCTAATTAAAAAGAACTGACAATGTCTTTCTGTTTAATGTTTTATCGTATTATTCCAATTTGGGGATAAAGGTGTTCAGGACAAATTCAAAAGTTCATGTATTGTTGTTTATAAATCTATAATAGCCATTAATGACTTATATCTTTTACTTTATGTGCCGTGTTCATTTTGGACGTAAGCGATCATGGCTCTACACTTCTTCCTGGCCCTTGTAGCTCTCAGTACGTTTTTGTCTTTTTGCTATTTCTCCTAAACCCTGTTCTGTTATTCACTTGCTTAAACCGGTTAAGTATGTCACAAGTTGCTTTCTCTTGTCCCACTTTCTCTCTATCTGTCCCGTGAGTATCAGGTTTTCCAAGCCCTCCTTTCTCATTACATGCCCCAGAAATTTCAGCTGTGTCTTCCTAAACCTATAATTAATACTGAATGTTTATAAACCTATAATAGTTATTAATGGGTTATAGGCGGGGACCTATAATTAATATTGTATTTTTATAAAACTATAAGAGTCATTAATGGGTTATAGATAGAAACCTATAATTAATAGTCAACATTTATAAACCTATAATAAATGTTTATAAACATATAATTAATATCGGGTCTTATGTTTATAATGAGTACCGTCGGTACTAATCTCTATAAAAGGGAGGATGTGTGTGCGCGTGTGTGTGTGTGTGTGTGTGTAACGAATGCACGGCCGCAATTTTCGACGGATTTGCACCAAAATTTATATGCACATGCTCCAAGTTAGCGGGAAGGCCAAGACCGACTTTGCATTTCCCAACTCCCATCGATAGTGGAAATAATCGATTTTTTCATGCTTCTACGGCAGTTTTCATGTAGTTTGCGGCCATTTTCTACTGGCCAGTGTGAGAGCCTGCTACGAATAGGCAGGAAGATTCTATTGACCAGCGTGAGAGCTAACAGCTGACTGACACGAATGTTAACTAGCATGCTAGCATGCAAAAAAAAAAAATCGATAGCTGCATTCGTCACAAGTGGGAAAAATTTAAATCTGCATGGCACTTTACTCCAATTGGCTCATTCGCTTGCTTAAACTCAACATTGATTCTGATTCCGCGGAACTGGGTTGGGTGTGAAAAATATTTGGTGTTAATTTCATTTTTCATTCGGTTTTTCCAGTTACGAGTCCTTTTTTAAAGCTGATCGTTTTGTGTTCATTTTGTTTAGTTATTTTTCGTAACAGATTTAATGTTTAGTATAGAGCTTAGAAAAAATTCGCAGTGTGAGATAGGCAAGAAGTAAGGCATGTAGCAACATCAGCACGGCAAGGGGCACTCGTTTAAAGGCAAGGAAGGGCAAAAATATTTTAAGTTAAGTGATAGCGATTGCTGTATGAGTCGTAAGATTTTTTAATCAAGCCCGGGCAACGCCGGGCCATGCTGCTAGTGTGTTCTAAATGGAATTTTATCTTTATAAGTGTCTGTTATGTATTGTTTCGTTCGATTTTATGCGAAGGTTTTAATGCAACTTAAGAGGAAAACAGGACAATTCCGTTTTAAAAAAAAGGTACTGATAAATTAACACGAAATAACACAGGAAAATAATTTTAAAAAACCCGCACTTACGTAATCCATTAGATTCCATTCGAGAACACGTGTTGACCGTATCTCCAAAGAGACAATAACGCGGCATCTTTAATCCAACCACACCACTACATACAGGGCCTGAAAGAAAGAAGAAGAAAAAATGATGGGTTTTATCAAATATCTGTGGGCAGCCTTAATAGTACTTGTCGTAGGTTAGGTTATTTAATCTTATTCTGGCATACATATATATATATATAACTTTTATTTCAAGTCCACCACTTCAAAAAAAAAAAAAAAAAAAAAAAATGGAAGCAATTACTTCTTTTAGATTCATTCAGTTATGTGCCATGCGTGATACACGCTAGGGCGATCTTGTATCTTTCGATAAATGCCTAACGAGACACATTTTTCCCGCAGTAGGTTACCATTTCTGAAGTTGCTATTCAAGGCTATAGAATTCTATTGACCCATATAACATTCAAACCGTTTCCAATGTAAGTGAATGTAATGGATTCGACTCGAATTCGAACTCTGTTCTCCAATTCCTCAATCCGAGCCGCTATCCATTACTCCACCGTGCCTCTGCTACTGTTCATGTCAACTCAATCTGCTGGTTTTGTATTTTAACTGTCTGGACCATATAAGACATTATCGTAGCTATACATAATTCATCTTTTATCTGTTTTTATCTTTCATTGTTGAAATAGATTGTTTTATACGAAAATATTCCACCAAATATTATTAAGAGACTCGCTTTTAATCTAAACGGGTTTAGAATTTTTGATTCTTTATTGCCAATATGGATTTTAAAAGAGTCGCAGTTGTAACACATTGAACCCGGCTGTGATTATGAAGTCAAGTGGACTTAAATGATTTTATCTGAGTCCGAAATATATTGCGTCTTTATAACCGGTCGTAAAGTCTACGAAATCTGATCATCAAAGCGGCCAACCACATGAACAAAAAGCAGTAAATTCATAAGATAAATGCATGAAAACTTTCAGAAAAATGTCACAGTTGAACAGAAATTAGAAAAGTCTGCTCGCAAGTTTATACAAGAGTTAAAACAGAGACTAGTTCCGAAATCGCTTTTTGCACAGTACATGGCGTCTATCGGGAGGAAATTTTGAATCCACTCCTGGTCGAGTTGTCAGTCGCACGCCGTGATGTAGCAAAGGAAAAAGATAAAGAGGATCAGGTTTCTCGGTGGTTGAAGGTAAAAATTGATCCGTTAGTCTGTCATGACAAAAGTAAAAGAATTTGTTGCAAGGACGTTCAAATGATTCCCTAAAAACGGGATTCGCATCGTCATTTCTTACCATCGTTTTGCCACACTTTGTTTTCTTGAAAACGCCAGTGAGCCTATCATAGTTTTTTTTTTTTTTTTTTTTTTGCACATTCACATGAACGCGGAAACAAACACAACATGATGATTCGATCGCGACACAGAAATTAATATCTTTCGAAACTTGACTCAAATCCTAAAGTTTAATTTCAATATTAAATTTAATATTTAGTGAACAGGGATGATTTGCCCAGTCGATAAAAGGGATTCGTTGTATATCTACACAAAGAATATATGTAGCAACGATGAAAAGCTACGGTTCGCTTTATTAAATATTAACTGATTTTTCACAACAACCTTATCATTCCACTCAAGTCTTTCATTCATTTTTCGGAAATTTTATAGCTCCCCCTTTTATTCCGACCACCCTGTCTACATGAAACTCAAGTTGTGGGTTCCTCCCATCTGTCTGACAAAGAACTTCTGCTAGGGACAATTAGATAATGTTGCCAAAGGATTATGTAAAAAAAATAGTGCATAATTCTCATCCTGTTGTCTTTCTTTTACTCATGATATGCGTTAGAAATAATACCCGTCACGTTCTGCTCTGGGGTTCCTTTTGGTTCCCAGTGAATCGAATGTTGCGTTGGGTACAATGCAGAATTGTAACAGCATACAATACACTAAGCTTACCTAATAATTCTATCAAAACAGTAGATAAATAAAATTACTTTTAAATGTCTTTCCCAATCTTTCAAAGAAAATTCACAAACACGCATGTGCTATAAAGACATCATTTATCTCTGTTCATATTTTTTCTATTTAGTTTGCTTAGGCAATAAAATATACTGTTAATCGTACGTAATTGTATACTGATTTTTACTCTCTTTTTTTTAACAAATACCATTGCATCCATTCATTCTGTCTGTATTACCACCTAATATTCCCCATGAAAGTGTATTAGAGTAAAATTTTAATTACCTGTGTGTATACCTATTCTTAGCTTCAGTTGATCATTGGGTCTGTGACGAATCTTGAATGAGAACACGCTCCTCAACAGTGCTATCGACATTCGGGCAATTTCTCTTGCGTGTAAGTTTCCATTTCGTACTGGAAGCCCAGAGGCAACCATATACGCATCACCGATTGTTTCTACCTGTACATGAGAAGAAAGTTTAAAAAAAAAAAAGGACAAAATCAATTATTTTGATAATCACAAAAATATAATCGACCAGGAGGAGGTCCAGTTTGGAATGCTTGAAATATTATTGTACATACGAATGTGTTGAAAAGTTCCTAGTTTGGCATACTCTCTGTAGTAAAACAATCGACACATGAATTTGCATCCTGCATAGTCGGTCGGTTAGTTTCGTCTTTTGAATCCATTGTTGCGGTAACTATTTACTGCAGAAAGCCTTTGTCAAAGAAAGTATCCATCCTTTTATGATTACTAATTATGGTCTTAATTATGTTTCATTTTTTAATGCTAGTAGCGAATTTGAGTCCCAAGCCATTGAATTCCATCTACCTGAATCTGCTGGTTATGAGGCGCCAGTTGTCCACCTTCGCCAATTCCACGACTTGGAGCGGGGCTTCGTTTTCAGAGGCTATTTGAGAAGCATTTTATAGACAGTGGGAGCTGGTCCCCACTATCATCACCGGCTATGACAACCTTTGGAGCATATATAATGTACGTATATAAATATTATATGCATTAGGGGTTTTAGAAGATCCCGAAAAATTAACGTTTTTTTTTTAAATATATAAAACGTTACATAAACAAAAACACTAGAAAGCAAAACAAATTACGAAATAGCACATAAAGAGACATGTACAAATATCGAAAAGTCTGTTAATTTTTGAAAAAGATAGCAGAAACAAAAAATGAAAATAGAAATCGGGATTTACACGGAAATTGAGAAGTTATTAATTAACACGCAATCAAATAATATATACGGCCATTTTGACAGTACTAACACATAAACAATCAACTGATAAAGAATGAACGGAAGTAGAAAATACAAAATTGATAAATATAACTTTAGGTAAGCAAAAACAGAAAGGAAAAATATAAGCAAAACGATCTTCAGGTTGGTTGTACAAATATATATATATATATATATATATATATATATATATATATATATAAATACTTATTCAGAAAAACCCGATAATTAAAAAAAAGTTAAAAAAGAAATAATAAGAATACAAATATATCTTCAAATAGATTTAATAATTATAATACGTATAATAAATAAAAGAAAATCATAATTAGAAATTATAATAAATTCATTGCGAGAGAAGATGACGCGTTTTTATTCGAACCTCCCAAAATTAACGGATTTTTAAAAGTTAAACTGAAAAACTTAAATATTACTTAAAATGATATAATAATTTAATATTATATATATATATATATATATATATATATATATATATATATATATATATATATATATATATATATATATATTATCATTTTTTTGAAAAAGATGATTCCATCGCGACAGAAATTACTATCTTTTCGAAACTTGACTCAATTCCTAAAATTTCATTTCAATATCAAACTTAAAATAAAGTTTACAGTTTCATTCTCAAGCGATGTTTAGATCTTAAACATCGCTTGAGAATGAAACTGTACACTAAATTTTAAGTTTAATATTGAAATGAAATTTTAGTACTTGAGTCAAGTTTCGAAACAGTAATTTCTGTGTCGATCGAATCATATTTTTTTTTAAAATTATAATTTAAGCTCTACTTGTGTATCGAGCACTTTAAAAAATAAAAAAATAAAAACAATAATACTAATTGACTTTGGATCATTAATCTAACTGTTCTTTCCTATTACATCAATGCACACCCGCACACACACACACACATATATATGCACGCTCTATCTCTGATATTGAGCACTTTATCCCATAAATATAACACACCTTAAGACTATATTTTTATATTATTTATATAAACGTATGTATTCATACGTCATAGCCGCCAGTTGTATACGTGCATAATCGGGTCTAGTGTTTATTTCGATTGCAGTTATGATGACCGCAGTATCGATGAACTGGTATAATTAATTATCGATCTTAATTTGATTCAGTTGTCCGTCTCCTTATGCTGTAATAAACAGAGAGCTGTGTTTAGAAATTACCGCCTGGCTTCTGCTATCGGTCTGACATATTGAACAGTCTCATTAGCTCACCATCCGATAAATATAGTTGGGACCGTTTCTGATTAGTTCGGCAGACCATGATTTTATATTGTTTATGTTGGACTGTGTAGGCATTTATTCATACGATGATTGCATCAGAGAACAGATAAAATTAATTCAACAATTCTGGTTTGTTCATATGTTTATGCTGGGACTGATACGTTTGGACGACTGTTTTGATTTCTGCGTGCCATATAGTGGTTGGAAAGAGATCTTGTCTCTAATTTGTTCCGCAGTATCCTTGTTGAACTGTTTATAATTGGTTTGGAAATTATCGATTTTATTTTTTGTTCTATTTTTAGAGATGCTAAACTTGAGTCATCTTGTTATTTTTGTCATCACCTCCATTCAATGCTGTAATAAACACATATTATGCATTTCTAGGCTAAAATGTTAAGCAGTGTATTTCTAGGTTTTCCAAGATATTAATTATTAATATACTTTTGTTAATCAGTTCCCAAAGGTGGCGAACAGCCTCTAAGATTAGAAAGGTACTGAGAGGAAGTGACCAGTGAACAAGAATGAGCAGACTTTAAAAAGGAACCAGAAACCTAATCTTAAACAGGAAAAGAGATAAAACCTCTACTCCTGTTCAAAATAACGGAGAGGAGTTTGAACCGAACGACAGGCGAATCTATCACTGTATTGAGATCTACATAATTTATAAAAATCGTCTTATTCTGCTTAAAAGGATTTCTATAACTCCTAAGATCTGAAAAGATTTTATTTTTTTTACTACTCATCTAATAAAAGACACAAGAACCATTCGAGGTAGAAGATTACTAATGTTAGAGGATTCTAACGGTCTACCTCAGGAAGAGGAGAAGTAATGGATACAAATTTACATTCAACAAGGCCTCTGGTTTGGGAAATCAAGCAGAAAAGAAAAAATTTACAGAGCCTTTGATGATTAATCCGAAAGGAAAAATATTAAATACCCTGTTAAAAAAAAGAGGAGGGGAGTCATTTTATATAAGTACAGAATGAACTCTTCCTAACACTATGTATAGTGGTTCAAGAGAGGGACGAAGATCGAGCCGATGTTGACTCAAACCAGATGACAGTTCTAACACCTTCCACATCTTGTATTATGAGTATAATATACCTTCGTTATTTCTACTCTTGTGTTCAGGTTGATTCTTCCTTGGTCCTAACCTGGACCATAATTTTGAATTTTTTGTTTTAAAGGTGTATTTTTAGAGTAAGAGGTGCATATTATAAGTATAGGTAGGATAGATATCAGATGACACTAGATTTGAAGAGTTTAAGATTGTATTGATCGGGAAAGCATCCTCACGGGAGTTCGTTCCGCAATGCGGCGGTTCTGGGGAAGAAGCTGCCTGAGTGGAAATTCCTCCTCATCACTGGAATGCGAAGGTGAAAGCGTATGAATCACTTCAGTGCCTGTGTCGTGGAGGGTTCTCGTCGTCAAGGCCTGAACTGGGGGAACGAAGGAATATTGTTCGCCTGAACTTCTGTCATGAAAATAGCGATATATCAGCGAGAGGCGAGCAACGTTTCGACTGTGGGGAAAGGGATTGCCGGATCGGAAACAATTCCTCACCAACAGGGCCGCTTTTGAACTCTATCTATTAAGTCAAATGAAGAATGGGTAGTTCCAGACTTGTCTTTCCAAATTTCAATAAATAACCAGAATAAATGCGATTCTGCACGTCACTGAACAAGCTGTGATGACATCCAAGGTCGGCTGTATGTGTATACATCGGGATTACTGTTCCACAGTGTTGTTTCAATATCGACGTCAACAAAGAATGATGACAAATGCTTTTCAAGATCCTCGTTGGGAAGTAGAGACCCCCCCCCAAAAAAAAAAAAAACAAACAACAAAACGATTTCTCTCTTAATCGGCAGTATCTTTCTTCGGCTTCGAGAAAGCGAACATCTGGTATCTCACTAACACATTCACTGATTCCTGATCGTTTCACTGACTGACGATATTCAGTCACCCCCCCCCCACGAGGGTGTCATGTGGCACAAGGCCTTTTTAACGTGGGCATCCCGAGCCCGTGGGCTCGGCCAAAAATATGCCCATTGAACCCGTATAAACGGGTTCAGAGCCGGTCTACCTCCCCGAAGGAGACTCTGCCCTTCGGCGTAGCCTCCTTCGGGTTCCTCCCGTCCGTAGGAAGAGAGTTTAACCGAACAGTCGCTCAGAAAGTACTGGGTCGACTGACTGACTGCCGGTCCTTTCAGTGACCACTCATTATATAGAAACTAGCTGGGAGCGGGGCGGGACACCATCCTTTTCCATCCTATTGTGTTCCACCAACCGTAAAAAGGGACCACTCAGACAATTTTTCGGTTTTGTTGTGGTGTCCTCCCTCTAAGAGTCTATGGTAGACTCTTCCGCCTACTATAAGTTTAGTAGGAGAGAAAGAACAGTGAACAGAGAACAGTCGAATAGATTGAGCGCTAGTTCATTCGATACACTCTCACTAGTCGTGAAATACTCTTCTGGTGTACTTACTATTTAATATACGATATATCTGCAAACCTGGTTTTTATTATTACTTAACCATTTACTTGGTCACAACAAGTTTCTTCAAAGGACCCTACTTTTACGGCTATCTAAAACCACAAAAAAATATGTTTGTCACTTCAAAGGTGGGCTGGAGACAGGAATCCTGAAAAATTCTGGTCATTAAATTTACTCAAAAATGGGCTGGAGACAAGATTCCTATGAAATCGTATTACTACAATTGCGAAGAATTTGTAATGTACTTTATTAGACATAGAATAACCTTTTTATGTAAGAAATGTTAATCTTAAACATTAGTTGCATGTAATCACTATCTCCTAGGTTTCAGTGCACAACATACTGCGCATGATTAAAAATGGATTCCTCACGATATTTATAAATCTTGATCTGGATTACTAGTAGAATAGACTGTAACACTATTATTATTATTATTATTATTATTATTATTATTATTATTATTATTATCTGGGCACGAGTGGTTCGTACGTTCACATTCTGAAGATGAGACCGGGGTTCGAATCTCATCATGTTCGATTTGTCAGGATGTTATCGGACTGGAGGGGTCGATCCCATCGTGCAGCACCTTTGGAAAGTGCCTGAAAACCATATCACGGGTTGTGAGTGAATTTGGGTAGACGGAACCTTTGGAGGCAGACGATAGCTGTTCTAGCACGAAGTCACAAGTCATCGTGGCCGAAGGATTGAGCGTGCTGGCGTGGCCGAAGGATTGAGCGTGCTGACCTTGTTCAAATTGTTGATCACGCCAGATAACACGCCCTTTCGCTGAAACTGTAACTAAGGTCTGCTCAGCATAGTTGCAATATATATAGATGTTAAATAAGCATAAATGTGCCTGAGGAAGCGCCTGCAATAGGAATTGGCTAGCTGCTATATTATTATTATTATTATTATTATTATTATTATTATTGCTTGGTTTTGTGAATGAGTATTTGGGATTGTGTGCCGTGTCTATCGTAGTCTTTCAGCTGGGTTAATCCTTGTTGGAACCGTTTCTGATTGTAAGGTAGCGACAAGTATATATATATATATATATATATATATATATATATATATATATATATATATATATATATATATTTGCTGCAATGTCTGGCCTTACAGGTCTGTTACTTTTCTTCTGTACTTTTTCAGTGGCTTGACTCAACGACCGAATGTATGATACATACATTTGACATAATAGGATTTCTTAGTGCTAGTACACATCTTAACACACATACCCCTACTTATTCTGTGTGTGTGTCCCTTCACGATGTTGGTGATCATGGTTCTTCACAGTTTCCTGTATTTTGTTACTGTTAGTATTTTTTCATTTTGCTATCTATATTAAATGAAGATTTATAATGTATAAGATTCCTCTCAGTTGAATTAGCCGTGAAGAGTAATCTCCCTTGCATCTAAATACAGTTTTCCACGGAGATAAAATGGAAAGCAGTTACATTTCTTTAAGAAAGCTTACATTGACGCAATTCCAAATGGGAGCAAATGAGTTACGAAGATTCTATTGCAATAGAAACAAATTAGTGTCCTCCCGCCAAATTTGGCATTTGTAAAACTATTATTATATATAGAACTACTACTTTAACAATGTATAATTTTTTAGTGCATTTTTTACATTGAAGTCAACGAGCAGAGGCGACATTCTGTTCCATGCGAAACGCAATCGTCAGGGCATATTTACATATGATATATCTCTGCGTACTTTAATATATATATATATATATATATATATATTCAAGCATATTTGATGAAATAATTTGAATGTATTATGTCTATTTATTTTACTTTTAATCCTTTCAAGTCACGAATTGGTTTCTTGGTGGCTGTAGAAAATCGATTAGAAAAATTCCAAAATATTAAATCAGAATACTATAATTTAATAATCTTTTTCAAAAATATTTTAATAAAAAATACATCCATGTTACCTCCCTTTTAGAGGTAAAAAAAATGGAATTTGTTAACGCATAACACATCCATAGATATGCTACCTATGGTCCCAGATGAGGTTGAAGTACTTGGGAAAATAAACATTATTTGAAAGAAAATTTTTGAATTTTTCTTAATCAATTTTCTAAAGTCGCCATGAAATTAATTTATAGACTTGAACCAATTAAAAAGCTAAAATAAACATAATACGTCTAAATTATTTTAACACACACACACACACACACACACACACACACACACACACACACACACACACACACACACACACACACATATCACCCTAGTAAATATTAAATATATTTATTGCATAAATAGTAATAATAATATTAGTATTAATCGCGTTGAAATTTTAACTTGGGCGGTTTTATGTTTGCACAGCGCAAGGGAGGTAATTCCTGTTTGATGTTAATGTTGAAATGATCGCTTTCATGTCAGAATATTACATATAAATTTTAGTGCATCGAAATATATATATATATATATATATATATATATATATATATATATATATATATAAAATTCAAAATTTGTAAAAAAACGGTATATCAGCTGTTTAGCTAGTTGCTGATCGTAGGGGCGAGCCTTATTTTCGGTTACATAATAATGAGTTACAGATAAATTTAAAAACCATTATGGATATACTAAGATCCTCAAACACTAATAGCAATAATATTTCTGAAGCAGGCATTTATAAAATAAATTGCCAAAACTGCTCCTCCCAATATATTGGAGAAACAAGTAGAAATTTAAAAAACAAAACGCATTTATGAGCAGAAAAGAGACTTCACAAAAAACAACTTAGTTAATGTACTAGTCATACATAAAAAGAAATTCAACCACAATTTTGATTTTAAAAATGCTACACTCATAAAAAAAGAAAATAACTCACTCAGAAGGAAAATCCTCGAGAGGGCCGCCATTGAATATTATCCAAATATTAATCTACGCCCAGGTCTTTTCCCTATTTCACCTTTCTTAACAGGATTACTACTCTACCAAACAAACGTACACAGCAATATCGTAAAACCAAAAGAAAATGGTTGAATCCGTCAACACAGCAATAATAACAATATCTCCACACGTGACAGTAATTGACGTAATTTTCAGTTAACAGTATGAAAATAGCGTTCTATAAATTTTTCCAGTTGCTAAGGACATTTTGTTTTTGTTATTATTAGTTACTTTGTATAAAAAAATTCATTTCGTTTTTTGCTTTGAGAAAGTCCACATTGGACGAAACGCGTCGGCAATTGCTACAGTTTCCCTATTGCCATTTATATTTAAAGATAAATTTAAATAAAAAAAGAATAGAATGAAATCTTACCTTATACACGTCAAATTGTTCAATGATCGAATCAAACAGGGTATAGAGATCGTTGAGTAAGTCAACAACCTGCAAGAACAAATAATAAGTAATAATTATTATTTTTTTTTTTTGCGGGGGAGGGGGATATGGAAAACAATTGTATATGGAAGATTTATGGACAGATGTATGGTGAGATACACAGAGAACACACTGAGATAGATAGATAGATAGATAGAGATAGATAGATAGATAGATAGATATATATATATATATATATATATATATATATATATATATATATATATATATATATATATATATATATCACGTCATCCCATAAGTTCTGTCCGAATTTAAACTTTTTGTTAAAATGGACGAAATTTTATAATGTCTAATGGAGCTGAACATTATTTTTATGTTTAGATGCATTTAAACTGATCAAATTTTATTTCAGAGAACAATAAAATTAAATTTTGTTTGATTAAAACCCTGTTAACATGGAAGTACCCAAGAATCATTTGAGGAACATAATGCTTTATGAGTTTAAGCGTAGTAGACAGTGGCTTGGTAAAGGGGAAGGACCCCAGCCACAGCCGAGAAGGGAACTTCATGGGCAAAAAGTTCTTCTTTCAATCTGGTGGGATCGCCAAGGAATTCTTACCAATTCTTAACCTAATGCAACAATTAATGCTCAAATATACTGTCAGCAATTAGAGCGTTTGAACCAAGCTTTGAGAAAAAAAAAGACCTGCTCTAGTGAATCGAATCGAAAAGAATCACGTCACAAAAGATCGAAGAACTTGGTTGGGAGAAAATTCTCAACCATCTTATTCTCCCGTTTCGTCGCTTCCAGAATCATTTGGAAGAAACAGCTTTTGTAACACAGGAAGAGGTTAAAACTGACATTTGTGAGTTCTTCGAATCAAAGCCAAAAGAATTTTACAGTAATGGAATTAGTAAGCTTGTTAATAGATGGAAGGAATCATAGATAATCAGGGGAAAATACATTGTTGATTGAATCTGTAATTAAATGTAACATTTGGTCACTTGTTTTTTTATTCAAAATTCGGACAGAACTTATGGGATGACCTGATATATATATATATATATATATATATATATATATATATATATATATATATATATATATATATAAACTGTTACAGTGGAAATGCAATTTACGGCAAAAATCTAATTTAGACATGTTATAAAGCGGTTAACATTGTTAACCACCTGATTAGATTGTAAGAATTTTTTAATATAATAATGGGATTTAGGGATACAAGTAGTACTAATTAACTCTTAGCTGCTGGGAGAAAAGGTGGATTCATATATTTCCCAAGTGTATTTGTGAAACACCTATTCTGACCCCACTGGATCGATGTACTCTGCAAGTCCGGCCCTTGGTCCTGTCCACGTATAGCATTACATGTTTAATCAAAGCCGACGATTTACAATTTCGATTCCATTCCACTTTCCAGCCAGGTTGTGATTTTTTTTTTATCCTGGAGAGCAATTAACAAATTGTAGATTCCAGAAGATTCAGCTGGTCTACCTGAACGTTCGTTGCGGCAAGAAATATGAACAAAGTCGATTCGAGTCCGAAGAAAAGTTTATGTATATGTATATAATGAAGGAATTGGCACAAAAAGAATAATGTTTCTTTTACAAGAAAGTAGCGTATATGAAATAAAGTCCAGAAAAAAAACAAAACAAAATAAACAGAAAAAACAACAACAACAAAAAACAAAAAAAACAAATATTGTAAATAATTCTGAAAGGAGAGAACTAGTTTTTGGCTTCACCCTTTTTGTTCTTAGTAGCTACCGTAATTAAGTCAGCAGCAAGCGGACACTTTCACTCTAACTGCCCCCCCTCTCTCTCTCTCTCTCTCGTCGACTTCTACTGACTCGGACTGACCCCACCTTAACTGTTTTCGCCCAAACACGAACTTGCAGTGGTACCGACAAAAACCAGGGGTGTTGGTGAACTAAGAATACAACCTGATTATTGACCTCTCCCTCTTCACGATTAAATAAACAGTCTTTTCTTCTCAATTGGTATTCCGTAGTTCATTACATTATTACACTATAGTTTTGATATTTTACATTAATAATTCTGATGAAGCACAGATTCTCTAGGCACAAACTTCACCACAAATTATTTTTCACATCTATAAAAAAAATTCTATACTATTACAAATATTAATATTTCAAGGGTGACCACTGCTCTCTGTGTCGTCTGCACGTAAGGGAATATAACGAACCAGCGAAAATTGGAACTCGGCTCTCCGATTAATAATTCCCAGCCATTATCCCTTACATCACCCACACATCCAAGCTTACAGCACCTGTAATACCCAAGCGTCACCCATCTTGGTACTGACCAGGCTCGACGTTGCTTTAAGTCAGTGATCGTACATGAATAAATGGTTAAGTTATCAGCATAGGTATCGCGTTGAGAACGGATGCCATCAGTAATGTTGTTGATAAAAACTAGGAACAATGTAGGTCCAAGGATGGTGGACGCCTGCATTAATGGAAAAAGATCTAGAAGAGTTGCCGTACTAGACAACATTCATTTTGCGATTCGATGCGAAAGAATGAATCAGTTTTTAAAAAAATCCGTCCAAAAATACAATAACCTTTCAACTTGTAAAGAAACCAATATGCCAAAACCTAACATATGCCTTCCAGATAATGAAAAAATATTTTTAAGAGAGAGGTGGAAATCATTTTGCGCCCAAAAACCGACGTACGCTCGATTCACAAATTTATAGTGTTAGATAGATAGATAGATAGATGGGTAAACAGAAAAAAATAATTAAATAGATAGATAGATAGAAGGGTAAACAGAAAAATAATTAGATAGATAGATAGAAACATAATTAGATAAATATAAAGAAAGAAAAAAATGAGATCGATCGATAAATAGATAGAAAAATAATTAACCTTTCAACTTGTAAAGAAACCAATAGCCAAAAAAATAATTGCCTTCCAGATAATGATTTTAAGAGAGAGGTGGAAATATTTGCGCCCAAAAAACCGACGTACGCTCGATTCACAAATTTATAGTGTTAGATAAATAGATAAATGGGTAAAAGAAAAAAAAAATTAAATAGATAGATCGATAAATAAAGAAAGAAAATAGATAGATAGATATATAGTCAGATAATTAGATAAATATAAAGAAAGAAAAAAAAAAATCGATAAAAGAAAAAAAGACAGATAGAAAGAAAGAAAGAAAGAGAATGTGATAGATAGATAGATAGATAGATTTTCCTGGGCTCCATCGGTGACCACTGTCACTAGCGGCAAATGCACAACTCTCTTACTTAAGAACGTAAGAAGAACCCACTAACCTGATATGGTGTGCTTTCTGCTGACATGGCTGTAAAGCCGCAAATATCACTGAAGAAAAGAGTTACACTCTCAAATTCTTCTGCAGTGACGGTTTCTCCTCGAATGAGAGAGCTAGCCACCGATCTGAAAGAAAAGAAAAGAAAAGCCCATTGAAAGTGCAAACGGTGAAACATCATTTGGCGTAAAAATACATACATTATGAATTCTGATGCATATATGCATAACATGAAAAGAAGTGTAATATATAGACAGATATCAACAGACTAGCATAGATAGATAGACAAGAACAGACTGAGATAGATAGATAGATAGATAGATAGATAGATAGATAGATAGATATATAAAACGATAAATGCAACCTGAGTCATATATATATATATGTAAGCAAATATATGGATATAGATCCGACAGTATGAAGAAAAATATATACAGAAAAAACAAACAAAAATCCTTATATACAATTTATACTGTTTTAATGTTAAATGTCAACGTCGGACGTTTTTCGGTCTAATAAACCATCTTCAGGACATATTCATAAATTATAACATTATCATTTATCTTTTGTCATGTTGTATTGATAATGTTATAATTTATGAATATGTCCTGAAGATGGTTTATTCAGGACGAAACGTCCGACATATATATTAACATTAAAACAGTATAAATTGTATATAAATTTTTTTGTTTGTTTCTTCTGTATATATTTTTCATTTCTATATATATATATATATATATATATATATATATATATATTGTGTGTATTTAGGTAGCATTTTTTCATTGATACATGTTTCATTGAATAATATAGACAAATGTTGTTTATTTATTTTATGTAAATTATTTTCATAACGTCTGATAAGTTTAATAACATTATCATTAAACGAAGAAAGAAAATCACAATATTGATCCATATTTTTTAAAATCCTATCTAAGCTTTCGGCTTACATAAGCCATTATCAAAGATGACAATTACATTACAACATATTAAACAATACACGGACAAAACAATAACGATAGTCTGTTTATGTTTACAAGGAAGATTTCCAAGCAACGACAAACTTTCAAAGCTTCCAACATCTTATATGCACGAATTTGTCATTGCTTGGAAATCTTCCATGTAAACATAAACAGACTATCGTTATTATAATCTTTTATCATCTTTTTTTAAACTTTGTCCAGTTTTTTTTCTCCTGATTACTTGGCACAAATGTCAAATTAATAATCCATGCAAAGTCACCTGATGCTTACTGAAATGCAGCATTTGTATTAAATTAATAAAATAGTATGATCTTTATCTTCTTCAGGTTAACAGAAGAAGCAAAAGGCCATGTAGAGACAAAATCACGTCATTTTGTAAGGTATTAGCATGTATGAGCTTATACTGGGTTTTGTTAATTTGAATGCACAGATTTTCTGAAAAAAATCTCTAATCAAAGTTTTGTTTTAATTTATAACAAAAAAAAAAACAAACAAAAAACTAAATAACCTGTTCAGATCTATTTATTTTATATTTACATGTATTCATGAATACCATATTATTGTTTTTTAAATTTTAAACTTAGTTTAATTTTTTTGCTTCATAAAATTTAAGAGGAATCTGCTATGTTATTCGTCCTGACTTAGCATTTTGGCTTCAGTCACTTTCCCACTGCCATAATGTAGCTTCCTTGTACCTTTTCTATAAATACTTTCATGATAATTGATCTGATGAATTTTCTTTCTCTGGTACCTAGACTTCATGAATTTAAGCACATTACTAGATTGGCAGCTAGGTCTCATCATTTTACAGTTGAAATGGTTAGATGTAATCGTAAGTTTTATGTAAAATAAAAATCATAAATTTACTGAAGTGTTCTAATAAATAACTGTTAGATAAGAGTTAAAAAGCATCAATAAATAGAAATAACTTATAGAATACTCACTTTGGCAACATACTGTACAGTAGGTCTTCAGCCTTCTTTTTCTGCTCCAAGAAGTCTGAAGTTCTTTCTTCAACAAGTGCTTCCAAGTTGTTTGCATATTGTTCCATACGTGATAATAAGTTATCGAGAAGATTACCTTTATCACCGTCTCTACAAAATAGAAATAAGTAAGTTTATAAACCTTAAACATTTTGCGGGGATAATCCTTTTCTTAGCTAAGGCTTTTAAAGATGAATCCCTAAGCAGCATTCAAAGAAGAATATATGCGGCAAGTGAATCACGAGTGATGTTATTGTAATGTTAACTAATCCTGTTATTGTAGAGAGCAGATTTGGGGAGAAAGAAAGAGAAAGGCGAATCATGTGAAACTGGATACAACCAGTAAATAAGAGTGAACCATTTAGTGTGACATACACAGGAAACAATTTATAACAAACAAATAATAAGCAAGAAATGCACACGTGTAGTTGGCATATAAAATATGAGTATCTGAAATGTACAACTGTAGGAGTCTATCTTTAGGACGACGAAATGTGCCCTGGTAGTGAGTGCTTCATATTGGGAGACTTGCAGCTTATGTACAACGAGGAATCGACCTAAAAAAAGAGGAGAAAAGAGCCGAGAATAGTGACCAATGTCCGGGTCAAGGAGAAAGAGGAAGAAAGGTCGTTCGAGCGAGTCTGATCGGCCACGTTGGAGCTATTCCGTTCTGCCCGTGAAATAAGGAAATATTATATCATGGATATGATAATGCCTTTAATGGGAGAAAAACAAATTGACAATATTCCTCTTCTAGCACAGGGATTCCATTACTTCGTGATTCGTCCGATATAATGTGGCATTACCACCCCATTACAAGAATTACTTTTACAAAAACGACCAAAAACCAGAGTCAAAAAAATATCTGTGTAACGTGTTTTCTTTTATATATATATACTAATATTTACCCACTAAAAAGCCCAAGAGCCTCTCAATTTCTTGATTAAAAAGAAATTTGGTTATTACGCTGCTACAAACAGGCATATTATTAATCTATCAAATTATTACTTGTCTGATTCTGATAAGTTATTCCTGTCGTAGAGTTTGGATTTGTGTATCCTCCCTAGGAAAAATTGAGAAAATCAATCTATTTAGTTATTTTTGGGATACTCTTTTCCCAATTCGTTAAACATCTGCCTCACTCTGTAGAGCATTTGCTTCGTTTGAAAACTCGACTGAAAGTCTTATAAATTCGTTAACTTGTATATCAACTTCCTTTGAATCATTTTCAAACGGCCAAATTGTTAAGAACAGCCCCCCCAGATATATATATATATATATATATATATATATATATATATATATATATATATATATATATATATATATATATATTACCAGACCCGACAAAGGTGCATGTGTGGTTATATTAAATTATTCCGATTATGTCGATAAAATGTTGTGCATTTTAAATGACAGTAGTAATTGGATGACGTCACTTGTGACGATACCTTGAAAATGGAAGTCCGATTACAAGAAATATTAATAGAACTTCATAAGTCTTTGTCCAAGGGAATTTACAATAATATTCGTTCTGTTGATTCCTAACGTCCTCGAATGTATGGGTTACCAACAAGTCATAAAGTGGACGTTCCACTTTGGCCTATTTTGTCCATGGTGGGTTCTTCCCAACATGGTTTGGCTAAGTGGCTTATTGAGCTTCTTCTTTCGGTTCTAGTATTCTGTTTGGAGTATTGCGTGCTTGACTTTTCGTACGCTTCCTTGGAGTAACCTCCATCGCAGACAATGGCCGAAGGACATCTAATCGACGTCGAGAGAATATTGTCTGGGCGTGATGAAAATCTGATGGAAATCACGGATGACGCAATATTTTTTAAAGCCAAACAAATTTCATCATACACTCCGAAAATAGATTCATATTACTGCACACCACTGAAATGACGTAATCTGAGGAAAAAATAGAAATCGATGACAATCTGTCACTCCAGTGGGTCTAAAACTGACCGCATGGTGAAAGAAAGAAAACTAAAGCAGATGTTTCAATTAATTTGCACAAGGGTACATAATATCACACCGCGTTTTGTCTTTTTTATATTAAAACACATGAACTAATGCACATTTTAGTACTTTGTATGTCCATTTCACAAATTCGTTCCTTGCAGATTGACCACAGATTCTCGATTGGATTTAAATCATAAGAATTTCCAGGTCATTCTATAGTACTATGATTTGGTCACTGGTAAGGTTTGCCAATGTGTTCGTGCAGCGTTACAATTTTCGTACGCTTCCTTGGAGTGACATCCATCGCATACAATGGCCGTAGGACAACTAATCGACAGTTGAGACAATAGTGTCTGGGCGTGATGAAAATCTGATGCAATCACAAATGACGCAATATTTTTCAAGGCCAAACAAATTTCATCACACGCCCCGAAAATAGATTCACTCCACTGCAAATAAACTAATCTGAGGAAAAAAATAGGGACTGATTACACACATTCACTGCAGTGGGTATAGACATGACCGTATAGTGCAAGAAAGGAAAATAAAGCGGTTGTTTTAATTAATTTGCACAAGGGTGTATACATAACATGTCATTTGTACAAATCAAATGTCGTCCTGAATTTCCGTCGCCCTTACTTTATCACCTATATAGTTAATTGAAAAGATAAATAGAAAAATGATTAAACTTTTGTGTGTGTGTGTGTGTGTGTGTGTGTGTGTGTGTGTGTGTGTGTGTGTGTGTGTTGGTACTTACTTGTTCATCTTACGCATTAGCGTCTTTATCGCAGGAAAATCAGGTCTCTCGTTAGGATCCTCGGCCCAGCATCTTTTGATAACGTTAATCAGTTCTTCAGAAGGACATTCTGAACAGTCTAGTGTCGGGCGGAAGGCCGGGCATAGGCCATCTTTTACTTTTTGGTAAATCTCTAGAAAAAAGTGAAAAGGGAAAAAATATTATTATTATTTTGTCAATGATATCTCACTAAAGCATAGTAAGCTACCCCTATCAGATTTTGCCTTGAAGTTGAGAATATATTGATTTCATTTCCAGTAAAGAGGTAAGACCCTACCAAAGGTGCTTGCAATATCAACTTTTCATCTTTTCACAAGTATAAAACAGATCAATGTATGAACTATTAACTGTGATTTGTATCCTAAACGGGTAGATTCATTGTTTTTTTTTTACGGTTTACCAACCTTTTAAAGCCAGAAAATATTTTTAGATTGTAAATTTTTTTTATTTCATAATGATTTATTGATATATCTTCTACTAATTAACCCATGGATGGGGCGGAAGAGGTGGATCCAAACCTTTTCCAAGGGGATTTGAGTGTAAGTGGAAATCCATTCTCCGATTAACAATTCCGAACCATTATCAATTACACAATCACATCCAAGCTTACATCATCTGGTATTCCCAAATGGTCACCCACCTACGTTGTGCCAAGGCTCGATGTTGCTTAACTTCGGTTAACGTTCGAGAACCGGTGTTTCAAAGTGATATGGTCGTAAGAAGAATTTTCTTAAAACATTCAACATTAAATTAGCAACGCTAGAGTGACGAGGTTCGTCGGGATTTGAACTCGCTGATTTCACTTTCTGTGTCGATAAAGGTTACAATAAGCGGGTGTCCATAAGCTACTGACGTAATAGGATTATTGTAAGTTCAATGCACACTGTGTGACCTAAGACGTGGGAACTTGAGCCGTATTAAACGACAAGTTAAAACGAGTAGATTTCCGCACCAAGGTCAGTTATTGAACCCAGAAAGAGTTGTGAGGTTCAATACATGGCTATAGCAGAGGTAAACAAAAAACGTGGAGAGTTGAGTTAAAGGGAGATAACTGTTGTGAGACACCCGGAAGAGGCATGGCAAGTGGAACTAGAACGATCTACTTATTATTTATTTAAAAATTATAACATAAATATGTTATAAAATCACTACAAAAATAGCCATTTTGTTTCAACTCTTCTGGTGTCGTATCAAGTGATGATGTTGAATGTAGATTCTACATTCAATATCATCACTTGATAAGACACCATTTGAAACAAAATGAATAGCCGAAAGCGTTCGTACTTAAAAAAACAAAAAACAAAAAAAAAAAACATTCAGACAACTTTTACACATTTTATGTCCATAAGAGAAAAAAAAAAAAAACACACGAAAAACTAAATAAAATCTTAAACGCAGTAATTTGTCTGTAGGCTTTATTTAAACATGTATGAGAAGAACATGTATATTTATATATATATATATATATATATAACATTATGGTTGTCTCTTTCTTAATTACTTAATTAATATTTGTTCTGGTGTTACATTGAGCTCTGTGGATCACATCCTCTTTGGAATTATCCACACGGATTGTCAAACTCTTCATTACCTTACTATATATATATATATATATATATATATATATATATATATATATATATATATATATATATATATAATCTAGGCAGTTTAATTTATATTACAATGAATCATTCATACATAATGTAAATTAGTAAAGTTAATGAAATAAAATGGCGAATTCACTTCGCTAACTAAATTTTAAAGATGCATTAACCCACTAACCACTCATGTTTTTTTTTGTTTTTTCAATTATAAGCCGTATTAAGTTTTCTTTAAATAAACAGTTACTTTCGACAGGTTCTCTGGTCATCATCAGGCATGGAAACTATTTTCTTTTTGGTAAAATTCAGGTAGCATCCGAGACGAGAAATATAATTCATATATCGGTGCAAGGTAATTAGAACATGGGACCAAACAGGCAAGAAAGACTTACACGTGTTTTCCCAGTGTTATTCTTGCTTTACACGGCCTTGCGTTGTCATGGAAGAGAAGGACATTTTTCCATTAATCCACTGTGTACGCTGTCACTGATGTGCGAAAACTAACGTATGTTAGTGTAAAACAATATTGTAATTAATAGTTAAGTAATTTTATATTTCTTGGTTAAAATTATCGAATGTTTCTAGGACAAGGGAAAAGAAGACAAAAATACCTTGGGTGCTCAGATCCACGCCGGCCATATAGAACACTCCGTTTCTGTAGATAATCTCTTGACACATGATGGCAAAACTATAGACATCCCCTTTTTGTGTTCCTTGATGTGGGGGATTATGCATGCGTAACAACTCAGGAGCTGTCCACAATTTCCCTGTAAGAAATACATTAAAAATGATCATATTTAAAACATTTTTAAACTGCTCTGCTATTGCAATAGAACAATATCTTCTAAGAATGACGTAACACAAATATATCTATGACGAAAAATATACGGAAAAAACAAACAAAAATCCTAATATGCAATTATGCTGTTTTAATGTTAATATAATGTCAACGTCGGACTTTTCGGTCTAATAGACCATCTTCAGGACATATTCACAAAACATAATTAACATTAGACCATATTCAATTCAACATGAAAAAGACGAATATAGTATATATGTAATTATGTTTTATGAATATGTCCTGAAGGTGGTCTATTAGACCGAAACGTCCGACGTTGACATATTAACATTAAAACAGCATAATTGCATATTAGGATATTTGTTTGTTTTTTCCGTATATTTTTCTTCATACTGTCGGATCTATATCCATATATTTGCTGACAAATATATATATATATATACGATAGTCCTTATGTTATGGTCCGGTTCCTTGTACCACGGTGATAGTCCAAGATAGAACCAATAAATAAGAACTCGAATACGGATATGGAATAACACAGATATATTACAAACAGGGATATATACAGAGAGGTAGAAAAGTGTTAGTACGAACAATCAGGTTTAGTAGTAATTGTCTGAACGCAATTCTGTTTCGGACTGCCTCTGACTCGACTGACTAACTCGCTCGCTCTGACTGACTGACTGACTCCTGACGGACTTCACTCCAGACTTCAGACAGAACTCTAGACTTCAGACGGAACTCCCTGCTTCCTCTTGAGGCGCAGTATTTATTACGTATGGGCTAGTCCATTATGTTATTATGGGTAAGGTCCCATAACACCTTTTTTATATATATATATATATATATATATATATATATATATATATATATATATATTAAATCGAATATTAACATAGAAAAAAAACATGATTGATATAACACATCTTCCTATTCCTATTAATCTGGATTTAATTTTACGAATGTATACTTACCAGATCTAAAGCTGAATGTTGATAGATGAAAACTTTTGTCTTGGAATTCAAATGCTGAGTCGACAAGTCAACACTGCCGCCTTGAAAGAAGAATGATTTACACGCAACATAATCCTGGGACGGGAAAGTATATATTTACCGATAAGATTTTTCTGGTAATTTTAATACCTCCAAAACTAAACTCGTTTTCTTCAATAATCTGAGAAACCCCTCTCTGCCTCCCATCTATATGGTTGATTCTAACCCCCAGGAACGTGACTCGTCGGGCTAACGTTCTCAGCTGACGTGAAGTGGGAAGAGTATGCGGAATCCATTTTGTTGTAACATCGGGAAGGTTATTGAATAGAATAATCAAACGAAGGTTGGTAATGAACGATAATACTTAGGACAAGAACAACATATATAAGATTCGCCAGTAGTTGTCAACTGCTAGAAGTGATTCAAGTGAATTTCACAATGAATCTCCAATTGCAGGATATCTACCAACCGCCCCACGCGGTCAGATGTGACACAAGACCGAATTTAAATGTAGACTCGGCCAAAATTTCGCCGTAGACCCCGTATAAAACGGGGTCGGGTAGCTGTTTCCCGAAACGAGACTCTGCCCTTCGATATAGCCTCGTCTGGGGATCCTCTCTGTTCGGAGGCAGTGAGTTTGACTAGCACAGCTGGAAACGAATCTTCAACTGTAGACCACCATACAGTATTTACTACTGTATTTATGTGAATGGGGACATACACATTATCGTCCCTAGGTATGCTACAAAACATTTCTAGGTCAACTGCTAAGAAAGTTGATGTGCGAGACAATTTTTCTCTCCTGAACCTATCATACATATTTATATGTCTACAATTCGTCAATACTCAGAATATTGCTGCCACATATGATACAAAGCCATTGCTATTTACCTTGAGCTGCTTGATAAAATCAAAAGAAGAATCAGTAATATTATTGGTCCTGATCTGGCAGCTCGGCTTCAGTCACTTTCCTACCGCGGCAAGGTTGCCGCTCTGTGTCTTTCCTATAAATACTTTCTTGGTAATTGTTCGTATGAGGTCTTGGTTGTTTTATTACCCCCACAGGTAATGAATTGTACATATGGGGACTAGGTAGAATTTTCATAGAGACAATGAGGTATTATGGTGGATGTAGTAAGAAAGGTAATAGAAGATTGCGTTGTTTTGGTGTTAGGAATATTGTTTGTATGTTTGGGTCGGTGTTTGTCGCTAGCTAAAGTTTAAAGTTAAGACAGAAAAAACCGTCCTTTTTTCCCATTCCCTATTTTTGGCCTTGTGCCACATTTTCTGTATTGAAGTCGAAATAACTATTGCTCATTGCTGTGGTAGATAGGCATTAAGCGCAGTACTAGACAGGCGTCGAAAGTTCATTAATTTACTATTGAGCTGGATAGATATAATCGTAAAGTCTATGCTAACAGTTTCTTTTCTCGCACTTCTCGCTTGTGGAAATTCCTTCCTTCTTCATGCTTTCCAGCCAACATTAATCCCTAAAAGATTAAAGGCAATGTCAATCGTTATCTACTGCCCACCTGATTACTCTTTTCTCTTCCCGCTTATTAGTAAATTTTCTGTAACTCATTCTTTCACACCCAGTAAACTCTTGGGTCTTAGTGGCTTTACTACTTTGCTTGAGTTGAAATCGTTAACAAAATATTATTAATAAGTAAAATTGAATCAACTAGAGGCAGCTATATTTGAGTATAACGAAGAAGTTGATATCTTGTTATTGGCACAAATGGACGATGTTTTTAGCTAAGAAAATGAGGTTCGAATGCTGATCACCGAGGAAGGTAATTCAAACTGACTGCTCACACCTTAACGTTGTCACAACATTATGGTAACTTTGGCACTTATAGGTAGCATAAAAATTTCGTTTCATTTTTTTTTTTTTTAAGTTAAGAACCGACTAATTTACGTTCTGGAAATACGTTCTGGAATTTGCTATCCTATTACGTTAAAGAAACGTTACAAGCTAACGTATTTTGCAACGTTACAACGTAACGCTTCAGGTATGTTATTTTCCAAGAAAATAATGTTTTTGTGACCTTGTACCCGACGTTGTAAAAACGTAGCAGAAATATCATTTGGCGAGATGGAAACATCGCTGAAATTCAATTTTGGTAAAATAAACAAACAAAAAAGCTGGTTAGTAAAAGTATTTATTTTATTTTATCTTTTGCTATGCCAAAAAAATAAAAAGTTTTTATTTAGTACAGAAAATGTGCAAACTTAAGGGAGAAGATGGCGGGGTTGCAGTAAAATATTAGTTTGAAGCGAAAAGAGAAGCAGAAAATTTAAATATATAACACGGTGTTAAATATATATTTCTTAAAATCGCTATACATATATACACATACAAATATATGTAAAAAAATTTCCAAGAGAATAGAATCCAGGTAGAACTCAATGTCCAGGACAGAGTAAGAATATAATAAAAAGGCTTAAACACTAATATTCCGTGGTTATAATTCATCAGACCTAAAAAGGAATTTGTAAGTCTGATGAATTGGATCGTAATTACGATTCCAATGTAATAAATTATTATAACCATGGAATATTAGTGTTTAAGCCTTTTTATATATATATATATATATATATATATATATATATATATATATATATAACTAGACTCGTTTCGAAAAACCCTCGAATTTTTGATTTGCTAATCAAATCAATCTCGAGGAAAAAAAGGTTTTAAAAAAAGAAAGAGCTACAAACATGAACTTCTGCCGACAAAAAAAATCGCACAGATGCAGGCCTGAAGCCCAAAGAAAAAAAAACCCGATACGAGTAACAACTAATTAACAAAAGAGCTCAATACAACCGTAGAGCAGACCTAGATACACCTCACTTTCCCTGACGACCCGTTTAGGTGAAACCTAGGTAGGTTTGTCTGGCTCACTAGGTATATATATATATATATATATATATATATATATATATATATATATATATATATATATATATATTGTGGCTGTAACAGCAAAATTGTCCAATTGCTAGATTAAGTGCAGAAACGTAGTATATTAAAAATTGATTGAAGATGTCTTACTGGAGTTCCCCGAGTTTTCTATAACACTATTCGAATCTAGTTCGAACAATAGGAATGTATTTAGCACTATGTTGAAATGATCATCCCCCTTCATGTTGTGACCTCCTAATCCAGATTTCCTCAATACTGCTCCCTCTTTATTCAATTTATTCGCAGTTCTATTGATGGTTCTTGTATAGGCTTTGAACATGGAAGCCAGAGTATGAATATTGGTACCATTACTGAAAGCATGAGTAATCTTTTTCCTCTCACTATTGGTAAGATATATTGGGGATGACTGACACAAAACAATTTTAATCTGTTTTCTTTCTAGCTGAAAAATTCCAACGGCTTTTCAGTGATCCTTACGAAAAATGGGATTAAGATGGCTAAACGTCTTATCTGAAAACACGAAAAAAAAAAGAAACTCAGGTAGTTTATTGGTTTTTTAGATATTAAATATTTTGTAGGATTATCTCATGCCGTTACACGATTTGGACAAATTTGCTGTTACACCCGGTATATATATATATATATATATATATATATATATATATATATATATATATATATATATATTATTTTAAACAAATTTTGTTAAACATCACGGACAAATCTGTCTGCTCAATTTCAGCTAATTATTTTTAACTTCCGATTAATTTATTTTATGTCAAAATTAAAATTGATAAACAATGCAAAGTATATTTTCTTTATTTTTATCCAAGTTCTTTCAACTGTCACTAAAGTGGTTATCAAGAATTGCTTATTTAGTCTATTTATGAAAACGTGTTTGGCTAATTACAGGGTTTCCCAATTTTAGTGGAATCAATGTCAAGTCATTTAAAAGTGACGG